ACCAGCGGTAAGAATCCTCCCCTTTGTCGAGGGACGTCCCCCAGAAGACAATACTCAAGTCAGTTAGCCCTTTCTCAAGGGAAAGGCAAACTTCTCTCAGGGTACAACACCACCTGGAATTCCAGTCTGCTAATCCATGATGGTGCGGTTTGAGATAACTGGTGTCTATAGTTATATGGTAGGTTATGGTCATGACAACAGCAGCCATGATTCGTTAAACAGTTGCTTTGTTATACCTTTCCACAGCATATTATTATTAATGTAAGTAGTTATTATCAACTACTGAGCTTTTTTCTAAAAGAAATGGCATGTGGGGCCTCTCATTGATTACCTTGCTTAATTATCACAACCAAGCTGTGAGCAGACATGGCTCCCTTTAGAAGAGGGAACAAGGGCTAAGAGAGTGGATGAGGCTTGCCTTGCAGCCTGTCAGGTGCCTGGCTTCTTACCTGCATACATAGTTCTTGGAATGCCTGGCTCTAACACCAGGCGGTGGCCAGGTTTCTGTCCTGGTCTGGAGGGCGAAGCCCCAAATCAGCAGGTCCAGAGTGTAGCTTGTAGCCCCGACAAAGTTCCTGGGGTGCTGGTGATTCTGACCTGGTCCCTACCCAAGGGCAGGACAAATCCTGCTTGCCCTGAGCATGGACGGACAGGCTCAACAAACCGGAGCACAGAGCAGACCTCACAGTCAGGGATGCCACATGTAAACCCTGGCTGTCCCCCTCCCCAGCTCACCGTGGTGACCAAAACTCCACCTCCATAAAATGTATTGGTGGGATGTGCCCAGAAGGGTTATTTCTGTCTTTAGAGCCTTAGAGATTATATGTGTGTGGAATTTACCAAGTTGTTCAACTGGTCATTATTATTATTATTATTTTTGTCTTTTTTTTTTTTTCGTGACCGGTAACGGGATCGCAACCCTCGGTGTCGTGCCCGTACCGCACTCAACCAGTGAGCGGACCGGTCTCTATATGGGATCCGAACCCTCAGCNTTTTTTGTCTTTTTTTTTTCTCGTGACCGGTAACGGGATCGCAACCCTCGGTGTCGCGCCCGTACCGCACTCACCCAGTGAGCGGACCGGTCTCTATATGGGATCCGAACCCTCGGCGGGAGCGCCGCCGCGCTCCCAAGCGCCGCACTCTACCGAGTGCGCCACCGGGCCGGCCCTCAACTGGTCATTATTAAGACCATTTAGTAACATGCAAAAATGCTTTTACATGAGAGGGAAAAAAAAACGAACCCCAGTATAAATAGATCCTGTCCAAATTAAGAAGCAGAATTCTAACTGTCCAGAAAGCATGGAGCATAGAGAGCAAAAGGCGTCCAGGGAGACCATACAGCTAGATTTGTCAAGACATGGACTTGGGGACCGGGCTTGCTTTCTTCTAGTTCCACTGATGTACGATTCCACTTGCAGAGTAAATCACACTAAAATGGGCTCCAGTGTATTAGAGGGGAAGTGTTTGGGTGCAGGGCCCTGCATGAACACAGTTGCAAGTCGGGGGGCCCCTCTGGTGGCTGGTCCATGGTCCAAAACACAGACCCATGTGGACCTGTGACATCAGCTGACTGTTATCACAGCTGAGAAAATGCTAATTGGCACTGAGCTCATTTGAGTACCTGGAGTGATATAACCCTTAAGATCCCAAGTCAGTTCTCAATCTGTTACAACCACCAGGACACGAAACTTAACCTGAACTGAATTAATTCAAACCTGACCTTCCTGATGCTCCTTAAGTGGTTTATTTGACCCACCCCTTGCTGGGTGCTGGAGACATACCAATGATGAGAGAGCCACCCCCTCACGGCCACCAGGCCTCCTGGAGGGGGAGTCCAGTAGCAACATGGGCTAGCTGGCCAGGGCCCAGGCCGCTGGTCATCAAAGGCAGACAAGAGGGAAGTTTTACCCAGGAGGTAGCCGAGGGCAGGACGGTGGCACTGAGCAGGGAGAGCTGGGCTGGCGGAGCTGTGGGTGTTGGGAGGATGGAGGCTCGGGTGGGAGGAGAGGCCTGGGAAGGGGCAGGGTCCTTAAACTGGGACGACGTGATCCACTCCTCAAAAACTGCTTCTGCAAGATTATCGTTATTCTAAAGCATTTAGAAGTCACCCAATGAGTCTCCCACTCTTAAGAAGCAGTGGCAAGGTGTGTGGTCACGGCTTTTCTCCCGCAGCTGGCAGGGGCCCTGATGCTGGCCGCCCACTCCCACCTGTGCTGGTTGATGCTCTGCACCCAGGCTCGGCCATCTGGCTCCTTGGCTGGTTCCTGCCCTGTGCTGCTGTTTCATTTTCTGGGAAGAAGCCACCAAGACTCATTCCTCAGCCTTCCCAAGTCTGACCAGCAGGCCACGACTTGCTACTGTGGAGCCCTCTTTTTAGTAACGGCCACGCTGTGTTTTCAGATGGTATGTAACTGCATCCCAGCCTTTGAAGTCAAGGTTTATAGAAGTTTCATCTCCTGTCGGGTGAAATTTCTTTTGGTCCACATGGACATTTCTGGGCTGAATGGGCCAGATCTTGCAGTAAGGAGTCCCTGAGGCCCATCGACCTGCCCTGGGCAGGGGCTGAGCACAGTCGGGTTGACTCTCCCTTAGCCTAGAACTGTTCAGCAAGGCAGCAGCCACCCCAGGATGTCACCTCCTCCCCAGCGCCACGTCGTCTCATGCTGCTGCAGGGGTATCTCTTGCCTTCTCTCAATCTTTCCATCTATGAAAGTTTCACTCCAATCAGCCACACTCCACTGGACACGTTCTCTGAGCTGGGGGCTAAGTGAGGAGCGGGGCTCCCTATTTCACCCCTTGCTGATCTGCCGCTGGCATATCAAGTGCAGCCATTTCACCTGGGAGGAGGCTCCCCTGTGACTCCAACCTCCCGTCCCTGTGTAGGGCCAACAGATTTAGCAAACAAAAATACACCACAGTTAAATTTCAGTGAACAATAAATAATTTTTTTAGTATTAGTATGCCCCCCCGTAGTAGTTCAGACATACTTATGCTCGTTCTAAAATGATTTGCTATTTACCTGACATTAAAGTGTGACTGCATGTTCTGTATTTATTCTGGCAACCCTGCCCCACTTCAGCCCTGTTAACCTAGAAAAAATACATTAGAGAAAAATATCTCCAAATATATTGGGTTTATTTAGGAATAGAAAATAGGATTATAATCCGGAACACACACCGTGGTGAGCATGGATGCATTTGTGGAGGGAAGGGTAAGAGGGCTTGTTCTGGTGAAAGGAGCAGTTCATGTTGTAAACTGCTTGGAAACAGTGGTCACTGCTTTCCAAGACTCCGAGACAGACTTGTCAGTTTGGTGCTTGAGATGCAGTGAGAGGACGGTGTCTTCACGGAGCATCTTATCTGCATTCTGAACCTGGTCAGAGAAGCACATGTGTGCAGAGCAGGAGATGCGGGAAGGACGTGCGGGGACTCCTGATGGGTTTCAGGAGGTCCTTGGAAACAGTTCTTGTCTCAGGCGAGCAAGAGGGAGCCCCTTTTTTGGCTGTTCCCATTTTCCTGTTTTGTCTGGGTCGTCAGGCCCACAGCCCTCGCCTGCTCGGCCCAGCCCCTCTCAGGTGCACCCCAGGATTGCTGCGCCCCCATCTCAGGGGTGGCCCAGCACCTCCATCTGCAGGAAGCCCTGCATGTGTCCCTGTTGAGGGCCCAGGGCTCCCTGCTCTGTGCTGGCTGGGCCTGCTGGCCGGCGGTACACGCTGGCCCTGCTGCATGCCTTCCCTCTGGACAGTCCCCGTGTCCCCACGGCAGGAAGTCCTCCTCATTCTGTAAGACAACATGCAGCGTGGAGTCCCCTTGGGAAGCCTTCCTGGGCACTGCATCCAGATGTAATCTCTTTCATAGCCTGTCAAATTAGCACAGATGTTTTTTGGTTTGCTAACATGAAATTTGTCTTTATTTCTTTTCTCTTCCATAGTTGAGAAGTTCCCTCATGACTTTTCCCCGAAGAAGAAAACTTTTTCACAGTAAATCCCTTGTGAGACTTAAAGATGTCAGGGCTTACATGTGGGGGAAGGTCCTCGCCTTTCTGGGACAGGAATCGCCACGGTTGGAGGAGGCTGACGTGGTGGAGAATCACGTAAGCAGTGGGATCTGGGATTAGTGAGAACCACAGCATGCTCCAGGGGATGGTCTCACTGTGAATTTTCCTTTCCTGATCACAGCATGGTCGTGATTCTGTGCCAAATATCATGGCAAAGCCACAAATTTAGTTCCCCACTGCAGTGGAACTCAGGGATTTTCCCTAAACATTCTAAAGCACTTCACAGTTTACCAAGCATGTTCTTCTACATTATCTCCCTACAGCCTTACACGACATACTTCAAAAAGTCTGTAGCAAAGTAGAATTGAAATATAATACGAATATTTTCATGAATTTTTTGAAATACCTTGTAATGACCCTGTAGCTCTGGAACGATGGAGTCTGTGGCCTTTCCCAGGACACACGCACACTGTTCTCTGTCCCCTTTAGAGTTAGCCGTTTGCTCTTGGTAGCTGCTACCAGACCCAACTTCTACCCAAACTAGGGAGCCTGAGGCTCATTGTTTGAGGGTTGTTACCCCAGAAGGGAATGCACACAGAGCAAGCCTGGTGTTTGCACACTGAATGACCAGCTGTCTTCTGTGGCTGACGTTTAGGCATCACTAGGGCAGCTCTGAAGCCAGAGGCATATGTAATCAGGCTGTTGCGGCTTTTATAGGGCTTTATGGTCTGTTATGTGCTTCCCCATGTATTATTGCCTTAAATCCATTCAGTAGTCCTTTATGTGGGCATTACTGACCATAGCACTTATGCACATATCTCTATATGTACATGATAAATGAGGGGCTCAGGAGAAAGACCCAGCACCCAGGTCTTCTGCTCCAGGGCCCAGTAGGTTTCCTAACATAGCACAGAGCCGTCTAAAGTCGGTCCGTCAACACTTCAGACAATGAGAAAAGATGAAAATCAGGCTCTTGAATGCATTTACTAATCAAATTTTCTTCTCTTCAGAAATACTACCTGGATGAATTTGCAAATCTGTTAGATGAACTTCTGATGAAGATTAATGGTTTGTCTGACAGCCTACAACTCCCTCTTCTAGAAAAACAATCCAGCAGTACAGGGGAGGCAAGAGCAGAAGACCGTCCCTTGGTGGGCGCTTCTGGTTACCAGGCTACTGAGGTAAGACCATGCAAAATTATTTTTGTCAATTTTCTCTATGGCAGATGTTTCTGGAGTTCTGATGGAGGTTTGAAATAGTTGCTGTTCCAAAGCATGAGGCCCATTTGCATAAATATTCTCAAAGGGTGATACTGGGTGACGTGTGCTCTGGCCAGAACTGAAGAACCACTCAATGATCAGAACGTGCGATGTGACTTCCAATTTAAGGCTATAGCATAAGTGTCTATCTGCTCCCTCATTTCTGATTACAACCAGAATCAACAAAGAAACTGAGAAACAGAAATAGAAACTCCATCCTCCAAGAAGCTAAGAAATATTCACGGCCCAGATTGTGACCACGAATCCCAAGAATAGCTGCCATTACAGTGAATCTTAGGCCAAAGAGGAAAAGGCTGCTGTGAGCTCTTGGCTGACAGACAACATATCCGGAGGGGCGAACCGAAGACCCCTGGTTTGGGAGAAAAGGTCACAAAGCAAAAAAGAGTTAAAGGAATTTCCCAAACCATAATGCCACAGAGTTCTAGGGACATGGGCCTGAAGCAGGGAACATACAGGAAGGCACCTTCGTAAGAAGCTGTTTGCTGATGTGGCAGCCCAGAGAGGGGACCACTGGTGGCTCACAGACCCAGGGCCACACTACTTGCTAACTAAATGAAAATCAACACAAAAGCACACATTATGTGTTACTACACAGTTAAAGAGAAGGATGAACGCCGTGCCCCAGTGATGAGCACCTTCCAGGGGAAGCTTCCCTGAGATCCAGAGAGATGCTCAGCCGCCCAGAGCCATCTCGCTCATGTGTCCCAGTGGCGATGAGAGCGCTCCCCAAACGCGGCAGACCTCTAGGTGCCTGCTGTGGCTCACCGCCCAGCCCTTTCCTGGCCCTAGTGCAGAGAGGAGTGCATGACAGAAGCAAACGGTCATCGGATCTACGTAAATACACTGCTGGAGAAAGAAGTTAGTATAAATGACCAAAAGAGATGATCATACCTCTGAAAACAATTGCCACAGATGGGTAAAGATTGTAACCAAGATGTTCTCCACACAGAAAATAAATTAATGTAAAAAAAATGCCTCTTGGAAATGAGAGTTCAAAGCCATAATGAAAGAACTCCAAGATGAAATAAAAAAACGAAAAATAAATTGACAGAGTTGAGGAAAGAACTGGAAACAAACAAACAAAATTGCTAGAAATACAAGGGTACTTCAAAAAGTTCATGGAAAAATAGAATTAAAAGATATGTGTATCTTGGGCCGGCCCCGTGGCTCACTCGGGAGAGTGCGGTGCTGGTAGCGCCGAGGCTGCGGGTTCGGATCCTATATAAGGATGGCCGGTGCACTCACTGGCTGAGCGTGGTGCAGGCAGCAACGTGCCGAGGGTTGCGATCCCCTTACCGGTTTAAAGAAAAAAACAAAAAAAGAAA